TGGGCAGGCTCGTCCGGGTAAGTACCACGACCTCACAGAAGACCGACGTAAAGTGGAAGTATAATACTTTCGCGTTTCGTCTGGAGAGTGAGGTTGCCGGAGCCCAATTTTCAAAAGGTTGTCAACGCATCTAGAACCTTCTGGTGTAGCAGATGTCCATGGGCGGCGGTATTCACTTAACATCAGGTGAACCGTCTGTTCGCTTGGAAATTTTTCACATTAAAAAAAGTATAAAGCAGCTAGAGCTTAGAAGTATAACGACCTAACAAGAATCCAGAAGACCTAACGAGACAGGACACGATCACAGAAGACAGACGGGGAGGGTCTTACTTTCTTGGAAAGGAAGGTCTACTTTCTCTGTGTTTGACAACACGCCTGTGACATCTAAAGCAGCATGGGTGCCCACAGGCGGTTGTCAGTTTTTATCAACAACGACAACCTAAAATAAAAAAAGATTATTTATTAAATAACATGAGCCATGTTTTAGTTGAATCTTAGGATATATACTGTTAATGAATGCCATCGGTGACCATACGTTTTTAGCAGCCCTTGGAACCGTACCAAAATCGATACAATGGTTTATTTTAAAAAAAACAATAGATTATTCATTAGATGTATAGTATCTACATTTTAGCACACAGAATTATCTTTAATGTACTTTATACCATAAACGACGTGAATGTTCATTTATGTTGCAGTCAAATCAGCATCCTCCGTTGAATCACTATCGACTTTTATTTTTAAAACTTCGAACACAGCTTTACCCCATCGTATACATTTACTTTTATTTAAAGTACTTTTTATTTTAGTAAGTACAAGTGATGTGAATGGAAGGCTGCCAGGTCAGTAGTAAAGAAAAACTTACTTATGTTTTAAAAATGGTAAGCAATCCTTCATTTAAATGCACTATAAATAGAGGCCTGAGGACGAGCCAATAACCGTTCCAGCTGACTGCACTCGACAGTACCAGGTGTGACCTACGTTAGCGATCTTCAATCCGGTGACGTACAGACCGGTCGAGTCCAGTTAACCGCTGAATGGATGGAAAATAACTGGAGTCTCCTCAATAAATTAGCGCTCATTCTCGCCTCTGTACTCCGTATATCATACTCGTTAAAACGCAAACAATCGGTGAACAGTTACGGTGCTAATACGTTTATATATTTTTTTGTTTTTAATGTTTTTTCTTTTTAATCACAGCAACGACTTATTTGAATCTAGAATGAAGACAGCGGTACGGTTTTTTATCGCATACACTTTATTCCGTAAAGCTGTTTTATTTAGAAGTTCGAGGATGCGAAAAGCATATTTAGAACATAAGGAAATTTATTAATTTGTTTGGCTCGTTGCGCGAACGGAGTTTCTACACGTTTCGTTAGTCCGAGGCAATTTATATAAAGTATTTCTCAAATAAACCTGACAAAGGAACCGGAAGATTATCAACTAATGACAATAATGGTAAATACTAAAAAATGTCACGTTGTCTCACTAACGTAGCCCACGCAGCGTGGTGCCAAGAACGCTACATGCATTTCCTCACTGAATTATCGTACTTAACATTTCAGCGAGAACAAAACCGATCTTCTAGTCACGAGGTGCAACAAGATGTCGAAGAAATAATCCTTCATGAAGAAGTGAAATCGATTTAAAAATAAACATACGTTTGAAAGTTCTGAATATAATAAGCTGATTTGAAAAAGTCCCATTATAAGTATCACAATAAGAACACGGAATGTTCAAATATTATGAGATATCACCTTTCAGGATATCTTTTTACATCAAATGTCAGGACATGCTAATAGAACACTAAAATTAATTCGAACAACTAGACAAGCTTTTCGTGATTCGCAACAATATCATATTTAAAAAAAGACTTACCACTAAGAACATCAAAACACTAAAACGCACACACAGTAATATACGGATAGACATGCAAACCAGCGAAGAACAGTCGTCACTAATTATAATTATTCAAAAATCTCTATATATACCACCGACAAAGATAAGAATCAATCTGGGCACAGATAACTAATGGATTATCGCACGCAGCTATCGAAGTTAACATGATAAGTAACAGCCACGTCTAATGGAAGGAAGATGAAGCAATTACATAATGACGTGGTCATGAGTACAAGACTTATTATCTAATTTTGATATCAAAATTATCTCGTACTCATGACAGCGTTTTGCGAATTTGATGGAAAAGTTCAAAACACCGGAATTAGAATTTAAAATGGGAACGAAATAAAATCCTTATAAGTAATACGTATCTTAGTTTTTGAATTTCGACCAACACGCCCAAATACAATGAAATTCCTGCCTTTATATCGGTTGAAATATTAAATTTATATAAAAATTCATTCAAAAAAATGGGGTATTCATGTGAAGAAAATTATTTAAATATTTTTATTTAAATTAAGTTTTAGGACCAGTTAGGAGTTAGGTAAAAAATGTGTTTTTGTACAGATTTGGTATTACATTAAATTTCTGATTATGCCTGAATATGTTTGCTGGGTAAAGGTCTCGCTATGTTCAGAAGGCATCATTCGACTCTACTGCGGATTGGCGGACTTCATAATACTCTTTTTTTATGTGAAAAGTTGCCAAACTTGCAGACGGTTCACCTGATGTTAAGTGAATACCGCCGCCCATAGACATCTGTTATACCCGAGGGTTTGCAGATGCGTTGACAACCTTTTTGGAAATTGGGCTCCGGCTACCTCTCTCACCAGACGAAACGCGAAAGTTTTGTCATACTTCCATTTTACGCTGGTCTTCTGTGAGGACGTGGTACTTACCCGGGCGAGCCTGCCCATTTGTGCAAGAGCCGAGGCTGCTGCGTGGTCTATCACCGTTACTCTGGAAATGAATTGATCGCTCCAGGATCTTTCAAGTGGAATTTAATACGCTGTACTCATGTTTGTTATTATTTTGTCAAATTAGTTTAAAAAAAATGTCCCGCTGAGTTTCTTTGGCCGGTTCTTCTCAGGTCGGTGGTTTTTTCCGAACCTGTAGTAGTGTTTTTTGACAATAAGTAAGTGTAATGCTTCTATGTTGAATAAAAATATTTGAAGATGAATTTGAATAATTTTAGAAAATATGAAGTTTTCTTGCGATGTCTTATAAATCAGCACTTAATATTGCAAATAACAATCATCACATGTAATCAATGGGAACCAGCACCGGGAATTGCACTCGGGTTGCTCCAGTATGTTGAATTATAAGTGAGCGCCCAGACTCAGTTATTCCCGTACCAATTTCAAAAATAATGTAGGTACTTCAAATTTCGGTATACCTTAAAAATATAAAAGACACGTCAAACACTAGCAAATACTTAGCCCTTCTCCTATCTGCACGTAATTTGGAAACCGTTCAAACGACATAACTGTTGGACGTAACATTGGCCTTTAGTCCTTGAATGACCAACAAAAAGTAACGTGCCAAAATGTTGCCAAGGGCATAGGTATACGATCGTATTAATAGCGACGTGTAGACTATTTTTGTTGGCAATGTTTTCTAAATAATCTTTCCACGCCAACATTTTTAAGTTGCCAAGTAAAACTTGACAGACAGTATGGATCCGAGTCGCACGCCGATCGAGTTCTGTGTTTCCAAAGAGAGACTTCAAAGAAAAATACAAAGCTGGTCAGCAGAATAAAGAATTAAACGTAAAACAGGTAACGTCAATATATCGGATAGATTTCATTGAGTCAAAGAGAAATATAACCCAAGATGAACGCTGTTGTATCCTTATATACTCGTGCTATTCTGATTTAATAATCTCCCATTTAGTGTTGATACGAAAATATTTAATCATGTCGCGCTCAGAGATAATTAGTAATAGATTTTCAAGATAGATCTTGGAAATATATTACTAATTATCTCTAAGACGATTACGAATTAAATTACATTCGAAGATTTAATGTCAGATACATGCTCAAGTATTTAAAGAAGACAGTAAAAAACAGAGCTCTTTTAATATTTACTAACCGGTCAATCTTTTACAACGACCCCATGATTTCTCGGAAATGATTGACAACAGCAGGGCAAAATAATATTATTGTTATGGGGGGGATATTCATTTGTTTTCTCGTCGGTTGGGTTTATAAATAAAAAATAAACATCTAGATATATATTGCATATATAAAATAAAAATAAACATATAGATATGAATATTGTATATACTACATATATAAATAGTACCCAACCAGACGGAAACCCTAGGCAGGGGAGACCAAACGGCCGAGGGTTAGGGCGAAAGAGAGAAACCGGCGGACGATGTGGGTGGTATCAAGGAGCACCGAGCGTCCCGGAGTCCCAGTCGCCTCAGATTTCCGGAGGCTGACTGGGATCAACCCATTCGCAGACACGACTATATATACTAATAATTTCAGTCGGCACACCACCCCACATGTCGGCCACCTCGTGAGCCAGGTCCAGATACTTCATCTTCTTATCTGTTTCGGCTTTCACGAGGTTTTCGTCATATGGAATGGTAATGTCGACCAAAAATACCCGCGACTGTGCCCGGTTCATCAACACTATATCAGGTTTGTTTGCGACCATCGTCCTGTCCGTTATAATGGGCTGGTCCCAATAAAGCCGGGCGCGGTCATTTTCGAGCACGGTCTCCGGGTAGTACTTGTAGTACGGCAGTTTCCGTTTCACGAGGCCGTATTTCAGAGCGAGCTCCTGGTGTAGGATTCTGGCTACTAGGTTGTGTCTATGCATATATTCAGATTTAGAAAGCATGGAACAACCCTAGATAACATGCCGAAGCGACTCCATTATATATTTAATTTATTGCAAAGATGATACATAAACAAAATTAATATCAATATATGTATGGTAGCGCCGTTGCAATAATACAGCAAAGATAAAAATAACCATACAGAGTCCCCGGGACCACGTGAGGTAGAATTCCATTCGGCATCAGATCATTCACCCTTCATAAGTTGGCACAATTGAGCAACTCCACCCGTCTAACGCCGAAGGAAGTTATGCTTGGAGCACGTTCAGCTAGAGTGACGTCATGCGAGATCAAGGCCGCTCGTATCAATGAGGGTACTAGATTAATCGGGGCGGAAGCATTAAACAACAAACCGTGCAGCGAACCTGGCTTGTTGAAGCAGATATTTTTTTAATGAGTGTGGCGATGGATCAGTTTGTCAAATTCCTTCAGTGTCTCCGTGTCGTTTCTGCTGTATGACAATTTCTCATTGGTTTGTTTGAGGGCAGGTGAATAGAATAGTTACGATTACAGCAATTGTATCAGCTCTCTCTATCTCTAAGATTCAAATAGATGAGGTTGTTTTTATTTTCGCTTACAGTCCTACAACCATAAACAAATCTAGTTGCACTCGGGCCCCAAAAAGATTGAGATGTAAGATACTGGTTTGTATAAGCATATGTTATTCGATACAAATTAAAAAAAATAGTGAACAATGTCGAAATAGTGAACAAAGTTTCGATACATTTCTCGTTTGTTTCAAATAGCATATAATAAACCTCTCGGTGTTTTATTTAACCGGCCAATTTGATCCACTTTCTTTGAGTTCAATCAGTCATTTCCACTACCGTTTCGCTACTTACCGATCGTACTTCATGGCAGTCTATAGGGGAAGCCTATGTTCAGCAGTAGACTTAAACAGGCTGAAATGATGATGATGATGAAACTTTCCCATGATGATGAAATTTGCGTACGAGTCAACTCCAGGCAACCATATGATCTACGGTTGTTTGATACGAGTTGTTGGACATCCGGCACTTGTGACAATCGATTCACGTGGGATTGAATTGCGAGATACTAAGAATATATTACGTTATTTCTAATAAACATGCACGAGTTTAATGTTCAGCGTAAAATTTAAACAAAACTCATTTAAGACTAAGACACTCAAAATGTAAATTATTAACGAAACTGCTTCATTCAAAAGCATTTGATAATCTGCCGCATCGCATTTATCATATAGTAAAAAAAATCTATAAAGAAATCTCTTTCGCTAGACGTTTCAAGGTAACTTCACCTTTTTTTAAACATTCACACATTATAAACCAAGTTCAATTGAAGGTCGTCGTTCTTAATCACGCTTCCCCAGGGCACTGTTTTGTGACCACCTTTGTTATATTTTATATAAAAGTCCGGTTACTTACGTTACAGTTTGTGATCGAACTATTAAACAATCGCATGCAATTTGCATCGAATTACTATTGAAAGGACTACAAAAAGTGTACACAGATTGATGCCATGATACGTATGTTAAACGCAATAAAGAATACAATAGCACCGGAAGATGGGTGGTTGTCGGTAGAATACGTACAAGTCTAAATTGGACGGGTACGGAAATATGTCCACTGTATTAGGTAATAGGGCTGCGTATAAAATGGGACAGTTTTAAAATCTCTACCAGTCACAATTAGCAATAAACAGTATAATTTATTAGCATTATAACATAAAATATGCACGAATAAATAGGCTGGAAATAATCCATAGGCATGAGGAAATTTCATGCAGAGCAATGTCAATTCTGCACAGTCAAGGGCGATACGTTGTGCCAAAACGTTTTATTTCTGGACGGATAGGGCGGCGGACACGAGAAACAGCATGAAACCTTCAAACAGTTGCGAACTCACCGATTTACACGTTCACAATCCCAACACAACACGGCCGCACAGAACTGCAAATCTATCGAGTTGGGGCGAGCGAGCGCAAAATAACCGACACGTCCGCGCGGTCCGATGGTCCGATAACAACTGAAAAGTTATCGCTTCACGCCGTACGGCCAGCGCGCACACTCGCGCGCCGAACGAAAGTGACGCGTGCGCACACGAGCGTGCGTGTGTGCGAGCGCGCAGGCTTGAATGACGCGCCGATCGTAGAATTGAAAAGTTTCAGAGCGACAAGGACGGAGTTTTGCAAAGCGCGAATTCGGCGGACGGCGCGGCGTGTCCACATTACCGTCTCGGCAGCGTTACGTAACCGTGAACAATGTCACTGAATAAAATCGGTCATTAGAATGTGCATTACGAATATAATTAATTGCCTGTGCCACACTTTTGCATCCACCGACCTCGTAGTTAAGAAATACACTCCTATAAATTGATAGTAAAAATAATATGATACGTCGCAATTTCGTACCATTAAGCTATAATTTGGTAAGCTTTTATCTATGCTTCTACATCACAATGCGAATACGTTAAGAACCGTCAATACGTGTAAAGAGGTCATCATGTTGGCATTCTACTTAACCGCTTAGTCGAAGTGAATGCAGACGGAGTCACCGTCGAAGCCTAGTGTAACATTTATGGGTGCGTCCGCGCAGCGTGCCGCGATTGGTTGATCGTCGTCTTACGATGTCGATTACGCTATGCGGCATTATTAAACGTTAAAAGGAACCACGTTCATTTGAATATCCACCTTGAATATGCAGCATAAAGATCAAAATCGTTCGTTTAATAAAACAGTTTATCGGAACACGTTTTAACAGTATAGTACGCAGTAATGATTAAGTTTCTATGAGTAAGTCTGATTAAGTAATGCAGCAGAAGTGATAACGAAGTTAGTTCTGATTAGTAGCAACACCTTAGCAGTCCGTAGCCGATTCCGTTACACGATTGGCCAGGCCCTCCGGGGAAGAACGGTATTTCAAGTACCACATAGCTTCACAGAAGACCGGGTCCCCCTTCTCTCTCACCACATTTTCACATCAAAGGTAAGGGATGAACGATGGTAAACCGATCAAGAGTTAAATTTGAAAGAGTTCTACTCATCCATTTAAGTTTAAGTCTCGAAAACCGATTTTTGTTTCGAAAATTTTCTATGTGATTTTTTTAACTTTATTTTACAGGGAAATCCAGAGCTCGTTTTTATTTAATCTTACAGGAAATTAAGGATTTACATTCTTTATACAATACACCGGACAACAATAAAGAGCACGGGAAATCTTTACAAAGGTAGTATATAAATACATCCATCAAAAAGCCTTAATATAACGAATATAACATAAATAATGCTTTTCACGGACAAATCAAATTTATTAGGCACAATCTCCTCTTTTATCTTATATCCGCGCTATATTTAGTCCGCACATTTGTAAGCTAACTAAAAATTTGGCTAACCAAAAACGATAACATCTAATAGACTGAGCAGTGTCAGCAATAGAGAGACGTGGCACCCTACTTGCGTGAGTCACTGAGGATGTACTGACACAGCAGTTAATACGCAACTCTTCGCGAACAGGAATAGTGCAATTCAACTCCCGTCCCTCCCCTTCCACCGTCACATGGTTCGGCGACGCGCTATTGACGCGATATGTAATAAAAAATCTGCCTGTGTGTCATACAGTTAAATGCATACATAGCGACAAACTCCTTGTGTTTTATAAGGTGGCAAGCTAGCTGGTGGTTCACCTGATGTTAAGTGATATCCGCCACCCATGGACATTTGCAAACCCGTAGGGTTTCAGATGCGTTGCCACGTTTAAGTAAAGTCGATCCCGGCCACCTCGCTCACTATCCGAAATCCAAAAGTATTACACTTAATCTTCAGGCAGGTCTTCTGAGAGATCGTGGTACTTACCTGACGGACCTGCCCATTCGTCTTGTCTTGTAATTAACTGATGTTTTTGCTTTCAGTCCCGAGACTATTAAAGCTTCATCGGACGCAGAGCCGGTGGGCTAGCCAGAACCCACGGGTTTGGACCCTCTGCTATGGGTAGGGTCGCGCATGTGCTCATGCGTGCGTAATTATGGTGTGTCATCTAAGGGCCCGACGACCGTCGACTGTGCATTTAGCTAATCGGTGGCTGGGAGCGGTGAGAACCGCCCCAGAACGCGGGTGTACCTTGTGTACGCGTTGTGTGGGTCTCGCCGTGATCGGAGGCGAGAGCGAACTGGTGTGATTGTTGTTACACTAACTGTGGGTGTAGTGTTATCCGGCGGGACCCCTGGCGGTGGGTCCATCGTATCTAAGTCCTGTTCGTCGACCGGGTCGATGAGGACGTTTCGCGGGCGACGCTTGTTTACGTTCGCGTTAGTGTCCGGTAGGTAGTTTGCTGCGCTTACCACCAGAGGGTTGGGATGATGCTGGGCTCTATCGAAGAACCGTTTTGTCAAATCTTTAAAATGTGCGTGAATCGTCGGGAGTCTGCAATCGCTGTGCAGGTCGACGTTGCGCTGATACCATTGCGCACCGGTTGCGCGGCGGATAAACTTATTTTGTACTATTTGCAGCTTGTACAAGTAGGGCGAGTAGGGTGCGTGTGGGCGAAGATCATGCATGCGTAGGAAATAATAGGTCGTACGCAGGTCTTATATAATAATAATTTGTGCCTTAAGGGCATTTTACTTTTAGCGTTAGTTAAATTGTGTAGCCGGCCGGAGACGAACGCGGCTGTATTACGAACGTTATTAATGTGCGTAGTAAATGACATACGCGAGTCGAAAGTGACTCCTAAGTATTTGACCTTTTTCTCCCAGGGGAGCGGTTGGCCATAAAGGGATATTTGCCCCCACTTTCTGCATTGGCGAGGGCCATTATAAAGATGTGACGGGTAAATACTTCGTGTGAAGTGAATCGCCACATTCTTTTCGGGATTTATTTCTATTCTCCACTTGCGGAACCAATCGCCGAGGCGGTCGGCGGCACTTTGGAGTCGAGTGGTTAGTATTCTAAGGTTGCGGTCTGAATAAAAGAGCGCGGTGTCATCCGCGAAAAGCGCGAGATTGACGTGGGGGTCTTTGGATATGTCGCTCGTGTAGAGCGTAAAGAGCAAAGATGAGAGGCAGGAGCCTTGTGGTAAGCCGGCCGTGCGGCGGCGGCTTGTGGAGAGGGTGCCTTCGACTCGATATCGAAAAGAGCGATTCAACAAAAAGGCCCGGATGGTGTGTACGAGCCTATCTGGCACTTTGATTGTGTACAGCTTGTAAAGCAAGCCGATGTGCCAGACCTTGTCGAATGCTTTCGCGACATCGAAGAAAAGAGCCCCTGTACTGATGTGTTTAGGGTGGTTTAGGCCTTTTAGGATGTGCTCCGTTAGGCGGTATAACTGATCGTGACAAGAGTGTTTAGCTCGAAAGCCAAATTGTTCCGTCGGCAGAAGGCCGTTGGAAAATACGTGCTCTTTGAGCCTGTTTAACAAGAGCCGCTCGTAGAGCTTCCCCAGGCAACTGAGGAGGCTGATGGTACGATAGCTAGAGGGCTGATTAGCTGGTTTATTCGGTTTGCGAATGCCGATAACCGTGGCTTGTTTCCAGTCGTCCGGGAAGGAGCAACTGGAGAGAAGGGTATTGAAAATGGTCGCGGGGCGGATTTCGGTTTTAATTTTTTAATAATATCTTGAACCTGCCCATTCGTGCAACAGCGAAGACTGTTGCGTGGCCCTGTCACAGTTTAATAATAATATGGAGTATATAATAATATAATATACAGTTAAATAATATAGAGTACCTAGTCAGAGTAAGATATATAATTATAGAGTAGTTAGTTCCAGATTCACTTTGAATCGAGCTTATGAGGTCTACGTTTAGCCTACAGACCTATAACTATTATGCAAATAGGACACATACAATATACTGATTTTACTGACTGAATAAAAAGTAACGTTTGCAGAAAAAATGTAATTTTGCGTGAGGAAAGTGCAATTTTCTTAGACATTCAACCCCCATCCTAATAAATAACATAAGACCTCATTCCTCAATTACACTCCAGGTGACAAAAAATTTTATATGACACCTACGAGTATGGCCTTTACTGTTGAAGCGACTCTAGAGTCACCCATGGGTCCAACCTTTACTGCTGTAGTGACTTTACAGTAGAGTCGCTTTTCGGCTTTTGCTTGCTTTATAATTAAGATAACTCGTAGCAGTAGAAGTAGGTTCTCTTGCGTCAGTGTTTAAGTTCGATCCCCACTGCTGATAAAGTGGGGTGTAATATAGTGTTATTTTAGTGAAATACTTTGCTATTTTAGTGTCTGAATGTTTAACAATGAACTAGCACTGCTTTTTGTTCGGGACTCGATAACGCTCTGTTAAAATATATCTCGAAATTTTCATTAGGGATGTGTAAAAATATTGTAAAAATATAAATTTGGCCATCAGAGAAATTATGGCGGCCTCGTACAAGACCCAGCGTAGAGTAGATAATAGAAAAGTACGCATTTTAGAAGCTTCTGGAAGAACAGGCAAAAAACCGGTTACCACCGGCTTTTTGCGTAACCTGACCATCCTCTTAGATAACTCTGAGAATGGTGTCAATCGGCATCCTTTGGACTTGCTTTCGGTGACGTCATTTGAATTAGCCAGAAATAATATGAGTATAAACGGATTGCCACCGGTCACAAGCTAAGGATTAGGAGAAATCGACAATGATTAGTACTTCGATAGCGATAAGGTTTAATATTCTGTGAGATCGGATCGACTGTATGGACGCAGACGTGCAGTCGTTAAGGTATTACTTAGTAATACTTTTCCTCGGCTGCGGTCCAATTCACGAACTTTAAAAAAAACAGTTAACTTTTAAAAAAAACAGTTAACAGTTTAACTTTTAATTTTTTACAACTTTACCAAACTTAAAGAGCCAAAGAATGTTCATTCTTTGCATAAAATCGATTAAAAAAACAATAACAGAAAGAAAAACATTCAATCTCGCTAACTAAAGATGATTTAATTCTTATACAGAACATTAATAAATGATATAACTTACTTGGCTGGCTCAGCGACCCAAAGAGGATCTTAACCTCTAAGTACAATACAATCCACTAAGTACTGGAGTACGATGGGGAAGTTGAATTAAACGGCAAACATAAGTTGATAGGCTATGCTGATGAGTTACACTACTAGGAAAGTCCAAACAAGACCTTGGAAACATGGCGGACATCCTTAAGTTGGAGGAAAAAAATCAGTCTCAGAATTAACCTCGACAAATTATATAACACACATATTAATAATGGCTAAATGGCTAAATGACTCGATAGCGCCGTGCTTCGGACATCTGCAA